CATGTACCAATTTCATATTCATATAATTTGTGTTAAAAAAATAAAAATACTTTGAGACGTCAGATCTAAGATCAAACAATGAATGACTTTCTTGATCAAAATTGAACGGTTGGATGATAAAAGAAGCATTTTTCTTCTATACTCTCGACGAATTATAGAAACCTTTCCCATTGGTTATTATGGGAGATAAAGAAAGCGACAAGTTGGGAAATGGCTTGAACCCAAACCAGGTTACATACACTGCTTTGATTGATGGCCATTGCAAGTCTGGGAAGATCGAAATTGTTCTCTCTTTGATGGAGATAATGGGAAAATATGGTTGCATACCCTACTTGCAAACATACAATGCCAAATTTAATGGTTTTTATAAGGATATCATGGTATATGTAGTAGAGAAGTTGTTCAATAAGATGTTTTGGTGAAACCGAACGTTATTAGTTACCCCACATGGATTGCAAGACCAACCATGTACACTTCGCCTCTTTTATAGCTTGTTTAATCTTTCTCCATCAAATAGCCTTTCACTCATTTTTAATCCCCATTAACAAAATATATAATAATAGATAGGAACATGATCCTCCATGAACTTAAAACCTATCAATAGAAACACTTAACAATAAAAATTAAACAGATTACAAAAAAATCAATCAATATTCTAATAATATATGAAAAGTGCTTGGCGAATAATGCGATGCACAAACAAATTTAAATACAATCACTACTACTTATAATATTGAGCAGAAATTAAGAAGAAAAGAGACTTCCCTCCAAAATGAAGAAGAACACCACGATAGTTTAGAGGCTATAAGTGACTCAAGTAACTCCTCACTAATTTTTAATCCTTATGGTTAACAAAGCTGTCTTGAGCTTTAACCTCAAAATTATAAAGTAGTTAGAATTATGGCTATATCTGTTGGGAAGAGCGGGAGAGAGAGAGATTGGATTTTAGTAACCTCAGAAGGTGGAAAGAGGAAGAGAGAGAAAATGAAGAGAGATGCCAATTATGAAATAAAAAATGACACATGATGCAAAAATAGCGAGGGTGTTTATCTCCCTTAATATATAGTAGATAAAATATATCCATACACCAAAAGTCCATGTTGCGTTGGGAATGGGGCAGATGTCTCAACCTAATGTCCCACCCTCTAGGGGTGCCAATAGTTTGGACCTGGACCCGGATAGACCCGACTAAAAAAGATAAATATTTTTGTATTTAATTATATTTCAATATATTTCATATATCGGGATCATAAGAATATTACCGGACCCAGACCCTGTCCCAAATAGTGTTTGGGTTCAATAATTGGACCTGGACCCGACCCACCGGGTCCAATTTTTAGACCCATGCGTAGACCCAAATTGGATCCCGAGTCAGGTCCAGGTCCATTACCACCCCTATCACCCTCCATTCCTAAAGTTAACATATCATAAGAAAGGGATAATGTACAATGAGACCATTTACTTTTGGGTATGGTTTGTATAAGCCCAAAGCTCTAAACAATCAAAATATAGGACACACCTTTAAAATAGTATGGAAATATGTTGTTTTAATATTATAAATCTTTATGATAACCTGAAAATTTATTTTTATCTCTAATAATAAATTTTAAAGTTAAAAAATACTGTAGATCAAGCAAGACTATGAACACTTGAAAATATTGAAAATTGATGGCCTAGATAATACATTACAAGATGCACTATTTTCAATATTTGAAAACCCTTTTTTTAGCCTCGCACTTATATAAACTTTGTCCTTTACTTTTTATACAATAAGGACACAAGTACTTACAACTATCTGAATCTAACAGCTTGGGTGTATAATAAAGTTTTAAAATTTTATTTTGCATGTTTAATTTGGACAATGAAATGACAACATCCATCTACTTTCACATTCAATGGTCAGGATTACTTGTGACCGCCTTACTAAAGATCATACGTTCCCCATAAAAATAGAAACAAAATATATGGTGCGCCAATGGAACAATCATCAAAATACTAAGATGTACTTCGTGAATATTTATTATTGGAACTACAGTGTATGGATTTTGTTCAGCACCTTCTAAGAACTTGAAAAAATAATGTCTAAAGATTGAATAGAAACCATCCAATTTTTAAAAGGTGAGATCTAAATCTTAAAAAACTAAAAAAAAAATAATTTTGTTTAGTCATTCGAAAGTGGTTACCAAAATTCCATATTGAAAAAATATCTCAGCAGTGAACTATGCTCCCAAGGCAGCTTGGTTTACATGTCCTTAAAACTGTATTCATGCCCATTACCCCAATTCATTCACTTCGTTGGTTTTCTATCACGCCATTCATTCGAGAGAATGTGCGGTAGATATGCTCTACTGCACCATAAACTATAAATCATGAGTACGACACACTCGCTATACCATTGTTACTAAGATTGGACTCGACTCATTAGTCTAGTCGGTTAAACCATTGACTGGTGCCAATTTTGTTTAACACGAAAAATAAATTTAGTAAAAATTGAGAAAAAACATTAAAAAAACAAAATTAATGTATAACTAATTTTTTTGCTAGTTAGAATAATTAGTATGACCAATTGGAGTGGCTAAATAAAATTGAAAATTTGTAATATATCATACATGAATCATTATTATTTATTTTTTTAAAATCCAGTATAAGGCCAAACAAATTCAAGTAGCAGCAAAAACCAGTTTTGACTAAACTTGACTTGGGCCAATTGGCCCAATCCAATTTCAGTAGCACATCTACAACACACTAAACGCATAGTTATGATAATTGGGCCAGACCACTAAGATCTTACCAGCCAGACCTCCTACCAATGTCCCTGGCAGATTTCAAAGCAAAATTTAAGTTTGGTTGAAAACCAATAAAAGCTAGTGTTTGACCAAATTTGGAATGTGGTTTTAACTGGTCTGACCAGCTAAACAAAATTTATAATTTTTATAATATATTGATGTTTCAAACTATTATTTTTATTTTTATTGTACTTTTTGAGAATTTGATTCAACTCATTCGAGTATTGATCAAATTGATTTTGATTAGACTAGACTCCTCGTTAGTTTAGAACAAATTGTTTCATACGGGCTGTACTGCATTTCTACATATGTGGTCCAGAAAGTGTAAAGCATCCATCTTAAATAGGATGCAAGTAGGTGTTCAATCTATGGAAATTAACACTCCAAATGTTTTATTACTAGAATTATTATTTTAATTTTTTAAATATATTTATTTTTTCATATTCATGATCTCCATGTTAAAGATTACATGCTCTTAAATATTAAGTCTTAAAATCCATATAAAAAATAGATTTATCAAGTGGCCCGTATTTCTACGGATGCGGGTTTGGCCGCATAGAAAGCGGCTCCTGGTGAGATTCAATCTGGGCACCTATACTAAAGGATTCGAAAATATCATTAAGTATTTTGACAAGGATAGGCTTTGTAAAAAGGTAGGCAACGTTGTCTTGCTTCTTTAAACGAAACGCTAACTCAACAAGAAAACGACCCCATCTCATTGCGGGACTTCCGGCCAAACCGTGAGATATTCTCCTTTTATCCTTTTCCCTCTTTCTCTCCCCCTCTTTCTCTCTCTACACCGGGAGACTACTTTTATCAAATTTTCCCTTCCTCTTTCCCCTCTCTCTCTCTCTCTCTAAACCCGAAAACTTAAAAACTAAATCAGTTTTTTCATTTTTCCCTCATTTACCTTCTTTATTCTCCTTTTTTCTCTATTTTTTTTATTCTTTCTCTTATTTTTCTCTCTCTCAAAATCGAGAGAAATTTTATTTTTTCTAAGGCACATATACTATGCTCCCTAAGGAAGATACTGCGCTTTTCCTCCCTCGCTCAAAATACTTGGAAAATTTGTTTTAGTCTAAAATCTTGAGAACACATAATAGCTACTAGATGAATATTTTTTTAATTTTTTTTTTTGAATTTTAAGTTTTGACATTTAAATATAGTCTTTAAAAACTTGGACAGTCTCTATTCAATCTTGAGGCATAAGTTTCTTTAGCCGAGATTACTCTATACTCAATTGTGAACTTCTTGCACCAAATATATAGATTGTTTTGAAATTACATCTCAAATTTTTAGATTATCCGGTTTTGGCCAAAGGAATATCGTTTCACTTTTTCCAACTTTAATTCCTAGTATCTCTTGCTCTATCATCATTATGGTCAAAGTTTTTTCTTTTTTCAACTTTAATTCCTAACATCTCTTGCTCTATTATCATTATCGTAAAAGTTTTTTTCCAACTAATTGAGATTAATTACATAAATACTCATCTGACTTTCTGCACCGTTAATTGATCCAAAAAATATCCAGTTTTGGCTAAAAGAATATTTTTCACTTTTTTTAACTTTAATTCCAATATCTATCTTGCTCTTTCATCATCATTGTCAAAGTTTTTCCAGCTAATTAAGATAAGTTACATAAATATTAATCCACCATTTTGCTCTATTAATTCCCTATATGTCTCTTGCTCTCTCTAAATCAAGTTAATTGTCATTCTGATTTTTAACCATCTAAATACAAAAACTTTTAATTCTGATTTTTATCCCTCTAAAACCGAAAAATAACACTGTCCTTAACCCTCTTTCTCTATCCTCCTACTCTCTCCAAATTTGGATCCTACTTTATCTTCTCTCTCTCCCCTCTCTCTAAATTGGGAAATGTTCTTCGTTTTAGTTTTATTTATCCCCTTTTTTTTTTTCTATCCTTAAAATGAGGTATTTTGTATTCTCTCTCTACTTTTTCCTTCATTTTCCTCTTTTTTCCGCTTATTTTTCTTCTCTCTACCCAAAATTGTAAATATTTCTGACAAATCGTTACTTTCCCTCCTTTCTCTCTCTTCATTTTTTTTTTCTTTCCCTCCTTTCTCTCTCTTCGCTTTTATTTGTTTCTCTCTCTCTCACTACTGCAAAATTTTCCTATTTCTTCCTCAATATTATTTTCCTTTCTCTCCTCTTTCCCTCTCTTGAGTCTCTATTTTTTCTTTTCTTTGTTTACGTTTTCCCTCTCTCTCTCTCTCTCTCTCTCTCTCTCTCCTCTTTTTCCCTCTCTTAAGTTTCTGAAATGTTTTTGTTACATCTCTCTCTTTATTAATCATTATCTCTGTTCACGCAAATAGATCCTCCTTGTTTTCCTTCGAAACCCATCGCTTCCCTCATAAAAAGCCCATTTTCTAACTTCCTCTGCAACTCCTCGAAAGCATATGTATCTGATCAAAACATTCAAAATTCGAAGGGAAACCTCTGCATTTAATGGTTTTTTAGACTTTAAATTTTTTTATTTTTGGGCCATTTTTTGAAGGATAAAAGATGTCCGATGCCCTAATCAATGGCTTGGCTGGTGCTGGAGGTGGAATCATCGCTCAGTTGATCACTTATCCTCTGCAAACTGTAATTCCCTTAAACTCTCCATTTTTCCACCTTTCTCTTTAGATTCTGTGATCTGGGTTTTGGTTGTGAATGAATAACTATATGATAACTGAAACAATCGTCTCATAGAATTCTAATTTCTTAGAAATCTATATTTCTTTGCATTTTGTTGGACTTTATGATTTTTTTTTTTTTAAGCTGCTGTGATGAATGATAATTTATTTTCTGCATAAAATTGTTGTAATTTTTTATGGAAATGTTTTTTGATCTTATGTTTGAATTTTTACAGGTTAATACTAGGCAACAAACTGAACGTGATCCAAAGAAGGTCTCAGGAGATGAATCATCGAGTGCCTCGACGGGAAACCCTGGAGCTATTGCACAAATGCACAAGGTTTCATTTTCTTCAATGCTATCTTATTTTACTTTTAGATTTATTTTGTATCAGGTTTGTTTGCAAGTTTGAAAGGGAAGAAAATTTTTTTTTTTTTGCTCTGCTTTTCTGGGGTTTCCATTTTTTTTTTCTTTGATATAAATTTTTGGGTGCTGGGTTTTGAGCAGGTGGTTAAGCATGAAGGGTGGGGACGTTTGTATAGTGGGCTTGGGCCCTCTTTAGTTGGGACAGCGGCATCACAGGTAAGTTTCTGCTTTTGATTTTTTAACTTTTTTGGTAGTTTTGTTTTCTGGAAAATAACATATGCAGCTTACATGAACTCATTAAAAAGTAAGAAAATCATTTTCTAGTATGCATTTACAATGGCCTGAAGCCTTGAACTACAATTTGTCTCCTTTTCAGTTTATATCAGTTTTAAATAGTTGGACTCGGGTTTCGACTCTCCAAGTGCCCGGCTGAGTTCTGAGTCGGGTTTTATTATGAAAGAATTTGAAACTATGGGAACAACAAGATACCCTGGCAAATTCCAGGGCTTTTGGCCTGGAATTGTCTGGCTCCCGATCCAGGCCAATTTGGGAGAGTCTAGAGTCAGCCCAGCAGTTTCTTAAATGCCGGTTTATAAAATAGTAAGAATGTTTTCTTTTAATCCATGAAAATTTTACCTGGTTTGGGTGGATTCCTTAAATATGGATTTAAAAAAACATTGCATTTGACGCTTGATGCAATATCATACATTATAGGAATTCTTAGATCTTAGAATGATCATGTAAGTATTGATTTCGTTGCATTAGTTTCGTTTAAATTTGGCTTGAAATGCCAAGTCTTTCATTGGGACCTTTTCTATAAGTTTTGAGATAACTGTAACAAACAGTACCTTCAGAAAAGGTAATCTGAATAGCTTCAATGCTCCCGTGGGAGCAAAATATACATTTGCACTATCTGGTAAAACCCTAGGTCAAAATATTTCAGGACCTCAAATTTTGGGGATGTGACCGACTCAATCTAGTGATCAACTTGAAAAAGAGAAAATGCAAAGGCATTCCATAAGTGCTTGAAAAAAAATCATGACCTAGGATTGAATACAAACTGTCATATATATATATATATATATATACACTTTTTACAAGGCAGTGGAATCTTTATGCCCAAAACCCCGATTCTAGTGGTCATTTATTCTTGTTATGTATCAAATATTCTTATAGACTCATTCTAATTCTAATATAGGAGTAGGAGTCTTGCATATTTATATGTCTCCCATCTCTCTTTTTAGGGGATACAAAAGGACCTAATTCCCATCGGGAAGATCCTTATTTCACATTTCTCATCGGAAAAATACAGAAATCTCAATTTCTTAAACTAGTAGGGATTGATGATTGATTCTATTTAGCACCCAAACCAAATAAAATAGGACCAAACGTAATATTTGTCAGGCTTAAATTTTCATCAATCAAATAATCAGTTTTATCTCTTCACCCACCTTCAGAAGAATGTTACTGAAGCATAGATATCTCCATCTCCCTCTATCGGTAGAATTTTCTAGGAAGGATTGGCCAACAAAATATGAACCAGAGATTGAATATTGATATACCTCAGATTTGAATTGGATTCCCAATACCAAAACGAGTGATTAACTGAATAAGCTAAGCTATTCCAGTTATTCGGAAGGAAAGAAAGGTTGCAAGTGGGACTATATATATATATATATATATATATATATATATATATATATTAGTAGAGGTAGTCGTACGTACGTAGTACGTAAGGTTACGACGTACGAACGTAGTAGAGTAGTATAGTAACGGTTTAAACGTACCGTACGTAGTAGT